TAGCGGGGAGCTAAAGGGTGGAGACAGGGCCCCGGCTGCCTGCTTTCTCCTCCAAGTCGACCTGCGTGGGGTTGGCCTGGATGGCCTTGCTCTGTACAAGCTGAGGATGCGTCTTGGATTAAAAAAGAAAGTCACCAGTAACAAATAGCTATGTGGGGGTGTTTACTTACAGGTGAAATTTCACCGAGTTAGACATATTCATTGTTTTGAAAACCAACTAAGGTATTTTTCACCAAAAAAACCTGCAAAAAAGCAAGGATACACTTAACTTCCCTACCAGTTTTTAGATGATTTCTGCATTTGAGGACTGCGTTATACAAGGTCTGTTGCACTAATCGTTTTCCCTTTGGAGCATTAATGTTTGCCAATTTATTCTTACAGTGTAATAATGACAGTGAAGATATGTTTGGTGGCCATGACAGCTTTTATGAAGATGACTCTTTGTTAGCCCAAATTGATGATATGGAGCAGGCAAACCTGCAGGATAAACACATGGATATTAAAGCTGCTGGAGAGTTCACGCTTGGGAATCCTCAGTCGGGAATTGATCGAAGGAAACAATCTGATTTTTCTGCTTCTGAAAATGCTGCTGTTCACAAAGTTGAAAAAGCTGATAGTTCCCAAATGACTGAAAATGACCTAGTGGATAGCAATGAAGAACCAGGTGATTTTATTTTAGATGACCTGCCATCCTCACAACTTTTGTATCTTGACAAAATGGATGAGCTTTCCTCTGCTTCCAGAAAGTCTGCAGTCACAGCAAGGAGTAATAACTGTGTGAATTCTTGCTTGGGCAAAATCTCGAGTCCATCTTTTTGTCATGATGCAGAGCCCAGGGAGGGAAATACTGAAGTTCCCACGGGCTCTAAGTGTGACTCGAGTAAAATAGAGAGTCTCAAAGATCATCTGAAAAGTGCTATGACTGGAAATGCCAAAGCTCAGACTCCTCTGGTCTCCAAGACCAAGCAGCTTAAAGACGCTGTTTTATCTGAAGAGATATGTGTTGCTAGAAAAGCTATTGAATCTTCTTCTGATGATATTGGCCCTTTTTATGGATTACCTAGTAAAGTAAAAGATCTCCTCAAACAATTCCGAGGGATTGAAGCACTTTATGGTAATGTCATTAATGCTTTCAAAAAACAATTGTCCTGTTAACAAAGTGTTTCTCGTTTGTTCCTTTTGTGTCTAAAATGATTACTTGATAATCTTTGTCTGTTGTTATGGAAGCTAAATATTTGTGTTATGAAGAAGTTTTTAGATTATTGTGACAGAATTGTTAGTTAGTCACCCTTCACATCTAAGGGAAAACTTAAGAAAAGTTGGAACTCTAAAGGTGGAAGGATAGCAAAGTAGATTATGGAAATGCTTGAAATAAACCATACAAGAGCATGGGAAGGGAGTTGATTTTTAGGGGAAAGGAGATATTGGCATCACATAGCAGTTAATTTGTGTGAAACGTGACAAGGCGAAAGCTTTGGAAGGCTGTGGATTATTTAGCGTTCATAGAGCTTTATTAATGAAGAACGTTCTAACGCTAGATTTGTAATAGCTTTTTGAGTTGCAGAACATAGGCGTTCAATTGTTGATCGACATGTGCTTAAAAGAGAGGATTAGTAATTTTTTTTTCCCAATTTTGCAGAATGGCAGCATGATTGCTTAACGCTAAAATCTCTGCAGCAAAGAAAGAATTTAATATACTCGTTACCAACCAGTGGTGGAAAAACGCTTGTAGCTGAAGTTTTAATTCTCCAAGAATTGCTCTGCAGGCAGAAAGATGTTCTGATGATCCTGCCATATGTTGCCATTGTCCGGGAAAAGGTGTGGAAGCACTGTTTCTCATATTGGTTATCTTCTTTTACACGCATTGTTACGTAGCTGTTTTTAGCTCTAATGTTAGGAATCGGTATTATTTCAAGTTTTTGTCAAGCTACAGGAAAACTATGTGTGAAGAAGGGCTGCAATTTAACATAAACATAATCCAGGAAGTGAGTGGTTGCTCTCTTTTTCTCAATCAGATCTGAGTCTCAGCAATTTTGTAATAAACTATATTTTGATTTTTGTTTGAAATGCTGACTTAAAAAGTAACGCGAGCTAAATTGGCAAATATTAGCGTTTTGCAATGTTACCGTTTCTTCTGCAGGCTTACCCGGTCTCCTCTACTGTCTGCCTTGCCAACGAAATAGTCTGGTAGTAATAGCTAATATTTCTATTGGATTTAGTGAAGGAGTGACTCTTAGAGAACAGTTTTAATCCAAGGTTCGTGATGTTTAAAAACATTTTGGCTTTGCAACTGGAAGAGTCATAGCTAATATGGTTTCACTTTCTCAAAAAAGAGTTCACTGGGATCTGGGTAGGCCACGTGTTGAATTCTGAGACAGCTGTCAAATCCAAGATGAGCATGAGTTTGTCCTCTAATTCATACTTCTGTGTTTTATTATAGGTTTGGGGTTTATCCAGCTTTGGGGTAGAATTAGGCTTCCTGGTTGAAGAATATGCAGGAAGTAAAGGAAGATTTCCACCAATCAAGAGAAGAATGAAGTCGTCCCTGTATATAGCTACTATAGAAAAAGGACATGCTCTGGTGAATTCCTTGATTGAAGCAGGAAGAATTGATCACCTGGGTCTTGTTGTTGTAGACGAGGTTTGTTACAAGATTTTAGAGGTTATTAGCAAATAGCAGTATTTTCATTATTTATCAGATTTTTTATGTTTAAAATAAATTAGCGTAGTTTTAGGCTACTGCACTGGTACTTAATGAACTGGGCAGCTGAACGGAAACCAAAATCTGTGACTTTGAATGTTATTTTCCTTCACTGAGTGAAGTATTTTACTGCCATATCAGGGCAGTAGATTCTATGCTGAGATCTATCTTGCTAGAGTGGTTAATGGTAAACTAATAACTATTTGTCCATTTGGCTCCAGTAAGCACTGGAGTACACAAGTGATAAATGATCTGAATCTTATAGGACATATTTTACAAATCCTGTAAACTTTTAACCCTGACATTTTGTGACTGGTAGTGATAATAATTAAAATATTGAACGGAACGACGATCAAATTACGCTTGACTTGGAGAATTAGTCCTTATTCTGCTTTTGCGGTGGTACGACTGAATTCTGCTAGTGCAGCTAGGTTGGAGGATCCCGTCACAACTTGTAGCGTGTAGTGTAGGTGAGCAGTATTTATGTAATGTTTCAGTCTGACTGACCTTATTAAACACGGTAGCTTCTAAATGGAAGAAGATTTAAGAACTAAGTTCTGCTTTTTTCTGGTAATAGTTGGCTGTTAAGAAAATATCATGACCTTCCATTGTAAGCATTGCTTACCCCATGGGTTGTATAAAATTGGTTTAGATTGGCTGATATGAAGGTCTGTATGCTATTTACCTACTGCTGGGAAATGCCTGTTTGTGACCCTTGTGATCTAACTAAATGGAAGGCAAATCTTGTTAGGTACACTTACTCTTAGGCCTGTTTTTCTGACTCCTAAATAGATACTGTTTTAGTGAGGTGATCCTTACAGAAGAAGATTAACAGTCAAAACTTACCAGATGAATGTTGAAAGGAAGTCTGACGTAGACTGTACTGTAATATGACTTGATTGTTTCTAGAAATATTCTTAACTAGTAATATTCTCTCCTTTTCTTTTTGGCTTCTGTCCACAGTTACATATGCTTGGTGAGGGAAGTCGTGGTGCCACGCTGGAAATGACTCTTGCAAAAATTCTTTACACTAGTAGTAAGTTTCAGCTGCAGCTAATATTTCTGAGATGGTGAAGTGATGGAATAACTAGAGAGAAAAGTCAGTTGTTGCTTTCCAGATTTTTGTGTTCGTTTGGCTACTTCAGAAAAATGTTTCCTTCAGTAACAGTGTTTCATCGTTGCATTGCTAGAGTAATTTTTACCCTATAGTGATGGACTGAGTATTTTTGAAGATTTTGTGATAGCTCCTCTGTGAGAAGTCCTGCATACTGTCAAATGCCTCCCTTTCTTGTAGGAGCCCCTTAGCCCTTCCAATTAAATGCTTCTGTAGAGACTTTTGTGGATTTTGAGGTATTGGCCTTTATAGTCATCGGTAAGTGTTTAATAATAATAAAGCTCAGGTTTTTGTGGTAGCTATTAGATTTTCTTCTTGCGTTTCCTCTGTATGCAAAAAGCAAAATACAGCCTGATACTGAATCTCTGAAATGTTTCTCAGTATGTTGCAGCCCAGAGGAATGATTCTAAGAGACATTTGTTTAGCATCTTGCAGGATATTGAGAGACATGAATCTCACTCGGCTCTTTATGGTCAGTCTTCTGGAGTAGAATGCACACAAATTCTGTAGGCTTATGAATGTTGTTGGAATATTTTTGCTTTTAGAATAGGAGTAAAAGGATAAGTACACACAGCTATCAGTCAAAATTAAAGCAGCTTTGATACGGTAAGAGGAAATGCTCTGCTTCCGTTTTGTGGTTCTGCCAAAGGAATTATTGGGAGGATATTTTTCTGTATGTGCATCTATCAAGGAAG